TGTGCTAGTGAATGGAAACATGACGGCAAAATAAAATAGGTGCTTCAATGGAGTGCCAAGATCCCCCATGACCACAATCTTCGATGAGTGTTTTGTTTACCCGATGGCGTTTAGGCTTGCTTGGGTTGTTTGTTGAAATTAGGAGGATGAGAACAACCTCGTCTATACAGAAGCAGTAGTAGTAACCACCGCCATGGATAGGAACATTCCATTTGTTCTAACAGTCATTGAGATAGTCATTCGATATTGAAATGCAATGGAAAACCGAAGAAAACATGTTATTATATACTTCGCCTAACTAAGTGCCGAACACTTTGATAGCTATGATACATGTATGACACTGCTAGACGCATTGCGCTCCCGTGAAGATGCCCAACTGGATGAAAATATAGGGGCTGTTATTAACAGTGTTTGAAGTTTGCGACAAGGTTGTGCTGCTAAAAGTGAACGACCCAAATTTATACAATGTAGATGTAGCAGTACATTGGAGCGTGTTGTCTGCTGCGATAGCGCAATGCTCTACCGGATATGTTGCAGCTGCTACAGCGAGGGTGGCCGCAGAATACGATCTTAAAACTTGAGTCGGGGAGGTTGCTGTGGCAAGGGCGACTATGAGACCTGCGGTAATACCTCCAGCAGTGACCAATTGCCCGGAGGAATTGATGGTGAAGAGAACGACTGGGCGTGAGGTAGTACCGGAGGTTTGGAAGTTGAGGTTCGTGCCCATGCCGGTGCCTGTCACTACTTGGTTTGAAGTTGCTAGATTTGGGGTGACTAACATTGGAGATTAGAGTCAGAAGGATTGAGGTTATGAGATAGAAGGATTTCACTAACTGTTTTTGAGACAGAAGGTCGGTTGCGCCGCAGCGGAGCTGGAAGTCGATGAAGAAACCGCAGATGAGGAGGAAGAGGAAGATGGAGATGAAGGTGCTGACGTTGTAATCGTAGATAGGGTTGATGTGATAGAGGAAGCTGCAACCGAAGAAGACGATGAGTCGGTAGACGAAGACACTATAGAACTGGTGGGGGAGCTGCTTGATGAGACCGCGGAGCTGGTGACCAAGCTAGATACGTCGGAGGAGCTGGGGACAGCGCTGGAAGAACTCGAAGAACTTGGAGCACTGGAGGAGCTGGCAACATCACTGGAAGAACTGGAGGAGCTGGAGGAGCTGCTAGAGGAGGCTGTGCTGGTTGCCGAGCTAGAACTGTCGGGAGACGATACAGTGGAAGAAACATCAGAAGATGAAGTGGTGCTTGCGATTGAAGAGGTCTCGGTGGATGATATTGCGGAAGTATTGGAGGAGCTGCTGGCGGTCGCGGAACTGGTAGCTGGCGAAGAGACCTCAGAGCTGGTTGCTAAGCTTGATTCGGTGGAGCTGCTCGTCGAAAAGACTTCGGAGCTGCTAGCTGGTGAAGCTGGTGAAGAAGCGGAGCTGCTGGTTGATGAAGAAGCCGCCAAGCTGGATGAGCTGGCAGAACATATCGGGGCCAACACCTGGTCTGTTTGAGATGTTGTATCGGTGCAGCTGACATCCCCAGCCTGATAATCTTTGTGGAAGACGTAGCAATCCTTCAAGTCGGTAAAATAGGTTACAAAACAAGAAGTCAAGGTGCCGCACTCCGCTTCACATTCTGCTTCTGAGCCGCCTACGACTACATCCCATAGTGAGTTACTGGCAGTGTTTGAAAAAACACAGTTAGAACCGTGATAGACTTGGCTGAAGGCGCAGCTTGGAGATGAGGAGGCTGAAGTCGTAGTAGAACTTGTCGAGGATGACGATGAAGAAGATGACACGCTTGATGTAGAGTCAGCAATCGTGGAGCTACTGGACGAAGTTGTATCTGATGCAACGCTGCTTGAGAAACTTATTGTGCTTGAAGAGCTTGTTATGCTTGATGGGATTTCTGAGGAGCTCATTGTGCTTGAAGAAATACTGGACGAAGTTATTGTGCTCGACGCGACGTCGCTAGATACCGAACTGCTGGCCAAAGAAACCGCAAAGCTGCTAGAAGAAGATGAGGCATCGGAGCTGGCTGCGGAGCTTGATAGGGTAGAACTACTAGGGAATGATGAGATATCGGAGCTGGTGGCGGAGCTTGATGTAGCAGAGCTTGATGTAGCAGAGCTTGATACAGCAGAGCTTAGTATAGCAGAGCTTGATATAGCAGACGAAGAGACATCGGAGCTCGTTGCAGAACTTGAAAACGTGGAACTGCTAGCTGTGTTTGGTATAGTAGCACTGCTGGCTGACGAAGAATCAGAGCTGCTGGCAGATGATGAGACATCGGAGCTCGTTGTAGAACTTGATATTACACTACTGCTGGCTGACGAGGAACCAGTGCTGCTGGCAGATGATGAGACATCGGAGCTCGTTGCGGAACTTGATATCACACTACTGCTGGCTGACGAAGAATCAGAGCTGGTGGCAGATGATGAGACATCGGAGCTCATCGCGGAGCTTGACATAACAGTACTGCTGGCTGACGAAGGATCAGAGCTGCTACCGGAGCTGGAAATAGCGTAGCTAAAGGTACTGGCGGAGGACGATGCTGAAGACAATATGGTGCTTGAAGACTGCGAGGAAGTCGCTGTCGTTGAAACAGAAGGACTGGCCGAGGATGAAGCAGATGAGCTCAGAGATGAAACAGTACTGGAAGCGCTCTTAGATGAGGACGTTGTAGGGACACAAGTCAAGTCATGGAATATGTACGGCGAATTTGCATTAGCGTTTAGATTTCCAGCAACTGGTTTGGCATATAAATAGCAGATACTGCTGCTGTAGGCGAAGCTTTGGCAGCCAGACGTTGATCGGCAGAATGTCGCACATCCAGAGAGGCTGCGGTATGCTGCATTGCTAGAATCGGTGAATGATATTGGACTATTCTTGTCGTATCCGTTGAGACCACAGGTGGCCGATGCAGTTGGTACGGCGCCTGAAGATGTCGAGGAGCTTTTGGAAGTTGAAAGGGTTGATAAACTGGCCAGTACCGATGATCGCGTGGAGGAATGAGAAGAGGTTGAGGACGAAGCGCGAGTAGTGGTTGAGGAAGGTGAAGTGCGGGATGAAGTTGATGATACGCGAATGGAGCTCGATGATGTAGAACGGGTCGAGGTTGTAGTGGCCGCGCAGGATCTGTCGTAGAAAGCATACGGGCTTTGGCTATTTGTGTTGATATTGCCAACCCTGAATACAGTCAGTTCAAGCAGTTCAAGCAATATCCATAATGGATAATTTCAAACAGGTTAAATGGTATTTCCGACATGGTTATAACACGAACCCAGACCGTTTTCGTGAATATCCAAATGGATGCTAATACCAATGGGCCATATTTCACCATGAGACGGTTGTATCAATTAGCTTGGAAGGAATAGAGTAGGCTTACACTGCAACAGAGTAATGTAAACACGCACCAGCCCCAACAGCATGTGACAGACATTTGGTGTCTGTCAGGCAATGAGCGGCGCAACCATTTGATGTTGCAAGAGATGTGCTTGTTGAATAGAAATAGGCCTTTGTATTGCCATCGTAACCCAGACTATTGCAAACTGTTGTAGGCTGAACGACATTGACAACAAGTGCTGAAATGAGCGGCAGGGCAGCTAGTGCGCCTAGCAACGAGAACATAATGCGACAATAAATGAGTGAAAATGGACAAAGCCTGAACGAGTGTTGAGATGCACAAAATTATCAGAGTCAAAATAACTATAGCAGCGTAGAATCTTGGGGAAGCAATCGCATTAAGTATAATGGTCACGGAAAAAGAAATAGTCCCCTTTTTAGACTCCACGCCGCCAGTTCTGAATCAATAATCCTCGGACCTCAATCCAAAATAACTTCGTTGTTTGAACAACCGTGCTTTTCCATCCCTTGAACGAAAAACGTTGTCAGCCACCAGGAACAAACACTGTATGGAGATGTAGCTGGAACATTGGGCTAGCTACCGGTAGTAACAAATGTGAAGTCGATTATAAGACTTTCGATACTTTGCGCAACCGTCAGACTGTGAGGCTGTGAAACTGCAAGAATGACCTGGCAAGAATGAAGCTTTTGAGTTCACTTGAGTAGTCACTTGCCAGCTGTTGGCGTGCTAAGAATACGCTGAGTCTAGGAGTTACGGTAAGGCTGAAGCTTGAGTCTTCTAGATTCCGCCACAGCCGCCCGAGTTGACAAGAATCTGGACTGATATCTCGGTTCATGATCTCATTGGCAGGAAGACATAAGGCGAACCATTTTTTATCTTTGATTGACGTTAAGGACGGTTATGCCGCGTCTACGGAGCACTGAACCGTTGATGGCAAGCGATGGCAAGAACAATGAACTTAGTAAGGGGCTTATATAAATAAAGGGGTTATCTTGGCACTGTTCTGCGTTGCAGAAACACCATATTTTTAGCGACATCCTTTACTCCAATAACACGTACATTAAACCATCAAAACCTCTGCCTTGGCTCCAATGTCCATGGCCATCACCGTACGAGGTTTGAACAACACTGACTGACAACCACTCAACGCTGCGTATGGCGTGCCTTTAAATCGAATAATAATCATGCATGGTGATGTCAAACCTCGCTATGAAATAATAAGTATTATCAACAAAGAGTACAATCTCTTGTTTCTCATGGACTAGAGACTGGTATCGTGTCCCAGCTATTAGGCGTAGATCAGTTGGTATCATACACTTTCCGAGAGTAGTCACCATTGGCTTTCTTCTCAATCTCTTCATCAATTTGGACTATACTACTTACTATTATACGTAATGAGTTTACTAAGCCAGCATCTGTATAGACCTTGAACTTGCTAGAAATGAGACTGCTTGTCCCAATCCATGATGTTCTTTTTATACTCGATTCACCAAAAACTATCGCACATAAATGAGCTACCTACCTGAGATACTCTCCGTCCACAGCAACAAAGAGGTTACAAAAATATAGGTCTCCTAATATTGGAAATAGCAGACTCGTAGACCAAAAAATCAGGATTTTCAACAAGAAAAGATGTATGCCTCCTACCAGATTTGAACTAGCGACCTTTGCATTGCATTACAAGTGCAACGCTCTACCCCTGAGCTAAGAAGGCTCCTCATTTAACGGCTTCAAAAATGAGTCAATTTGGAGCAAAATTGACATTACTGTCCATATATCTAGTTTTCATACACCCCTTTTTAATCATACATCCCCTATTTATCATACATCCCCTTTCTATTATAAATCTATACCGTAGTGCTTAGCGTATCTATTAATTATGAGTAAAGATAGATAAAGCTTACGATCCTTATTACTCCTTACTGCTATGCCTAAATATTGGCGTTTTAGCGACCCTTAAGTACTAAATCGCTACGCTATAACTCTAACCACTTAAGAAAAAATTTAATCAACTCTAAAGCTATGAATAGTGGCTTGAATATTGGGGCAATATCTTTAACTAAAGATCGCCAAAGTCGCCGGTTTTTTGTACATGTACAGCTAAATTTTTCTTCTTCTTTATCATACAACCCTTATCATCATATATCCCCCTTTAGCCTAACGACATATTCTGTGCATTTATTTTGGACCAAGAGCTTACATACCAGCTCACTTTGAAAAAACTATCATTTTTGTAGCTTTTGTCAATACCATGTAAATAACAGTTTATCCAGTTTCATACCAGAAATGACTATATGTCTTCAATTAAAATGCTGTATAATAGAATGAGAAGAACCTGTTTCTAGGATCGTGAACGTTTGAGACTGTCATACGAGACATTTTGTTGGGGTTGAGTAGACTTGCAGCATTTAGCAATATCTCAAGCCATATATATGGATCCTGACAGGTTTGATATACACAAGTGTCTAGTTGACAGGGTATACACAAGTTACTAGTTGACAAGGAGGTAAGTACAGGCAAAGCTCAGTTGCGAAACGGATATCTAAAGTTGCAATGCAGAAATATGGAGATTTGCAAGTGGGTTGCCGCAGGAATCTGCTCTTGCTTGGATATTACAGTGCTTCAAGCTTGAAAACGTGTACACGAAATGCAGATTTTATGAACCATATTTCATCATCGCGTAGAGTGAGGCATTTATTTCCGCCTTGTGTGAACATGTTTTTATACTTTGGGAACCTCAATGTTAAGTTTTCCAGCTTTGTTTTCCATCTGCGGCAAGAACGCCCATCTTCCTCGCTGTTTCCACCCCTTTACTTTCCATCCATTCAACGTCTTGGGAAACATCTCGTCAATCACATCTAGCAGACTTGCATCATGAGCGATGATGATCAAGATCCTATCATCAGCGTCAAAAATTTCCATATGATCGACGCTTTGTTGCGTATTTGCATGATTATGTGCCACTCTTTGACCATCTGGACCGTCTGCGATCTTGAAGAACGGGGTGGTTCTTGGATCATCATCGAGCTCTGAGCACGGCAATGGAACTTGCTGCGTTGGCCGAAATCCGCCGTTGAAGTGGACTATGTCTCCTCCTAGAAAGACGAATGATTCTTCTGGCGAGGCTGTTGTTCGTGCCAGAGCGGACATATGGCCGATAGCGTGGCCTGGCGTAGAAAGGAGATAAAAGCTTCCATCGCCAAAATAGTCGACTGCTTCATAACCACCTATTTTGAGTCCTGCAGCAGCAAAATCAAGCTCGCGAAGAGTGCGGCCTCTGTAATTGGTGAGACGATGGATCACTATGAAATAGGAGAGACTTACTCCCACGCATCCTCAGAGATACCGGCCGCAGGGTTTGTAGGATATCCAGGGATCTTATTCTCCTTGAACCCCGGGCCCACAACCAAGTCAACATTCTTCGGAAAGCGAGTCATATCGCCGGTGTGATCAAAGTGCCAGTGACTCCAGATAACTGCATCAATATCACCTTTACCACCTTGATCCAGTACATCTTTGATATCCAGCAATTCACCTCCTCCAGCTCGGGTTATGTCCCAACCAACGATCTTAATGGAACCTAATGTGTGTGGATCGAGCTTCTCTATATCTTTCCTAATGCCCAGATCAAACATGACTCGTTTATCGCTTGGATGTTCGATTAGAAATAATATCCTTTCTCTTCGTCGTCTGCCTAAAACTAACAGTACTATAGAGATCTTAGTCGCTATCCTCAAGAGGTAGAGTAGTGCCTACGCGCGTTTGGTAGCTAGGATTAAGATAATAAAATAGTACTATCACCCTTTACTAAGTATCTATTATAGATAAATCTAGGAGTAGCTAAGTTATAGATTTTTTGCTCCTAACTTTCTACTAGTTGTATATTCTATAATAGTATTAAGTACCTTTTTATTATAAAGTCGGACTAAAACGACCTATAGTCTATTACCAAATAGCTTATCGAACCTTATTGCGCCTAGGGACTTAGACATACAGGTAGTAGATGTATCAAACTTTAAGATACTCTAAGCCGATTAAGACATCTAGGAAATCATTGGTACAAATACTAATCTCGTTTATATTAGATAGATGCAACCAGTGGCTCAAATCGATTCATACAGAACTTTCACTGCAATAGACTAAGTTGCCATTCAAGGCAGTTTCCTAACTATTCTTACAAGGTGAAGGAAGTTTGACCTACTATGCTAGTTAGCGCATAACATATGCGTCACTCTATGCATGCCGCCTTGCAAGATACTATAGCCAATTGGTGCATAGAATGCTGGAGGCCAGCCATGTCAGCCTCAAATGGCCAGTAGGCTGAGTGGAAGTCAGGCACTTCGCACCCAACCTAAACACCGTACGCTTGTAGCGCGAAATCTGTTGTGAATTGACTGACATTCTGCTAGCAATATATCCTTACTTTTGACATGCGGGCTGCTGTTGTTCCTTTCGAGGATGTAGTACGCCAAAAGGAGGGTCGATGTGTTTTAAACCTATTCAAAACTTTCGGAACGACAAACTGCCAGCTGGAATGCAAGCTCTGGAGTAAAATGCAAGATATATATTATCAGAGCCCCCATGGTAGAGCGGGCAGAAGAAGGAAACGCTACCAGGAGATGGACTTCCAAAAACTCGTCAACCCGGATGAACAGAAACGGAAGCACACTCAGGGATCAATTCGCTCCCATCGGCCCACTTTCAAATTAGGTGAAGTTATCGCCTCTGCAAAAGCCGGGTGTGAATCGTGTCACTTCTTGGGCCTTCTCGTGAAAGGAACTCGCGAAGAAAAGGCACTTTCAAATTCGGATAAGATTGTGTGCGCTTGGGATGGCTGGACGTGGAGACTAGAATGCTTTGATGAGACGAACACTCAATACACGGCTTTCCAGCTCTTTTATCCCGCAGGTGAGTTGTGTTGTTCCTCATGATACCTGCATCTCATTTCAGTGAAAGGTGCCACGATAAGGATTCAAGGAATGCCGCAATCAAGGCCACTGTGTGGTATCACTTCTTCTCCTTCAACACTTGATCAAGCTTACAGCTGGATGGATCATTGTGACAGAAGTCATACTGCGTGTGGAACAGGACGCAACGTGCCACTACCCTTACGATTGATTGATGTTACCTCACTTCAAGTTGGCTCTGTGGAAGGGGTTAAACTTGTGCCGACTGCAGGCAAATTCGGTGCATACGCATGCTTATCGCACTGCTGGGGACAGGCCAAAATACAAGCCAAAACCACCTCCGACACGATTCAACAGTTTCAGATCCTCATTTCCTGGAACTTGTTACCCAAAAACTTCCAGGATGCAATCGTGATGGCCCGTCGCTTTGGTCTGAAGTACATCTGGATTGATTCGCTTTGCATAATTCAGGATTCAAAATCGGAATGGCAAAAAGAATCTGCCAAGATGGCCGAGATCTATCGTAATAGCTTTGTAACAATTGCTGCAGTTGCATCGTCGGACTCGTTGAGCGGCTGCTTTCAGGTTTCCACCCCTGACAAGTGCCTCATGATTAAGCCTAAGAAAGATCGTCAAATTTATATAGGAGCTCGAAGATGCGATCTGGGCGACGGTAGTCTGTATGATGACAGAAAATTGCCAACGGAGAAGCTAACGCCGTTGTTCTCACGCGCTTGGGTTTATCAAGAGCGAAGACTTTCGCGCCGTATACTGTACTGCAATCGGGGAGAGATGTCTTTCGAATGCTCTGAGCAAGTATGCTGCGAATGCCAGAATACTGGACTTCCGCCTCACAATCCTTCCCAAGGCTTGCAGACCAAACCCGAGTATGCCAAAGAGACAATCCATGCCTTGTTCCGTCGCTGGCCACGGACGATTACGGACTATTCTAGGCTGAGGCTATCATACCCAAGCGACAAACTCCCTGCTCTATCAGGATGCGCCCAAGACCTCATGAGCATAACTGGAGACAAGTATCTGGCTGGACTCTGGGAGGACTCTTTACAAGCAAACCTTCTGTGGTACGTGAATCGAAGCGAATCATCATTTCGCCCACGACTTTATCGAGCTCCATCTTGGTCATGGGCAAGTGTGGATGCTTTAGATGGTATTTCATTTGCACCGCAGCTGGATGGGTCATCGATCCTGCACAAGGCTTTCAAACATGAAAGTGCAGGCTGCTCGCTCGTGGGAGAAGATACCACAGGTGCCGTCTCCTATGGGTACATTCGCCTCAGGACCCAACTTCGTACCGTACTTGTACGCTCCATCTGTTTCTACTGTAGAAGAAGAAGCCAGCGATATCATATTTTAACCACTTCTGGAAACGCCAATGCAACAGTGCAAAGTCTAGAGTCCTGTTTTCAAGCAAACAGTACATCCGTTTCGCCAAATAGCTCAAGTGGATTCCAGCGTCTAGATTTAAGAGGAGGCAGCTGCGTACTTTACCTTGATACGTCCACTTTTATTACCGATAATGATCTGAACTTCGTCCCGAACCAACACAGAGGATTTCGGACTTGTATGTTGACAAGCATTTACTTACTGTATGTCAAAACCGTCAAAGCTCAGAAAGGAATTCTGCAGAAGGGACTTATTCCTGCCACCTGTAATAGCTACTTTCTGGCCTTGAGAAGGTTGAGATCTAAGCAAAATTGCTATGCGCGCATTGGTCTTGTTGAGATTGGGCACCCAAGCATCTCAAATGGAACAGAATGGTTTGATACTGTGTGGCCCCAGGAACTGA